TGTCAGATCCTTACATATGTTTCAAACTGACAACATTGGAAAAGTGGAAAAGCAAGAAATAACTTTATAAGAGGCCATTTTCAAAGCAGAGCTAATCTTATCTGATTCTCTCTGTCTCGCCCTATGTGTGTCTTTTTCTCTGTCTTTGCACCTCCTTCTCTCCCCTTACTTCCTTTCCACCTTCTTTCTTTTTCTCCTTCCTTCCTGTTGGCACCGGGGATGGAGCTGAGGTGTCACATTTGCTGGGCAAGTGCTGTACCACTGAGATGCATCCACCCTCTTCCCCCTTGTTCACTTGCTTTTGCTGGTTGTTGGGAATCTTTGGTATGTTGTCTACGGCACTCTTCTGCTTCCATCTTCATAGCTGGAATTGAAACTTGAAGTTCTTTACTCTGGACATTCATAGTCTTTTCAGTGAATCTGAACTCAGAGTTGTCTGAAATAAAGTTACAAGCTGAAACAAAGAAATAAAGTTAGCAACAGTCAATTCAGAGTATTCCTTGTTCTAAAACTTATTACAGTGGTTTTCAAGATGGAGAACGGGTGAGTGGCAGCAAAATTCAGCCTCTCTGAGATCCAGAATCCAGACATTAGAAAATAACAAATTTTGGAAGAAAAAAGAGAAGTAAATCACCAGGAATGGTGCAGCAACTGACAGGTAACAGCTACAAAGTTTCAAAGACAGATCACAAGGCAGGAAGGAAACCACAACACCAGGGTCTCTCCCTAGTTCCTGGCTGGCTGCTTGTGGGGATAGGAATCTGCTCTGGACAAGCAAGGGGAGTGCTGGCACCTGCAGGGAGAAATGGTGGTGGTGGATTTGGCAGTAATGTGGGCCCCCAGTAGAGCTCCGGGTGTCTGTGGTCTGCAAGGCCAGCAAGGAATTTTACTCCAAGGGAACTCTCCAAGGTCAGGGAGACAGTCAATAGGGAGCACAGCACAGGTGCCCACTATATTGTCTCGAAGTGCTTGGTTGGATACCATTTTGGGAAGAAGTTGATTGAATTAGGAGCTCCAAACAATTGGTGTATGGCTTTACTGTACGTCAGGGTTCCTAGTGTTATCCTCCTACAATGCCTAGATAAGATATCTGATGAAAGTGATTAGGCTGGAAGGAGACTCCCTGAGGAGTTTGTGCTTTTCCTGGAAAGGGCATAAGCCCCATCCCCTATGCTGGTAGGGCAGGCTCAGCTTGTGTTATGCTGGGTCTGAGAGTCCTGGCAGTGAGTACTTGAGCTCTTGCCCTATTTTACTACCTCCAGTCAGCAGGAATCTGGGGTCTGCTTGCTTTCTTCACTCATATGAGTGAGGATGTGTCTCAATGTGGACAGGCCACAGCACGGGGTGAACAGAAGGGCCTCTGGAATGGGGCAGGAGCATCTCACAGACCCATAGGATGTAAGGCTGGGAGAAGGAAACTAAAATTTCTAGACTCTACAGTTATAGTTTCAGGAAGAAGATCACTTACTCAAAATTCAGAGAAAGAGTGTTTGGACTTTCTTTTCCTGTTTCTTCTTCATTGGTTTGTTGGAATTGGAGAATTTTCCATTACTCAACTTCCTTATTCCTTCCTATTTATTTTAATTTTAATATTTTTAGTATTCTCTATTTTAATATTTTTCTAATAATTTTTAATATTTTTTCTTTTAATATTTTTAGTATTCTCTATTTTAATATTTTTCTAATAATTTTTAATATTTTTTCTTTTAATATTTTTAGTATTCTCTTTTATTTTTATAATAAAAATATTCCTCTCTTCTTTCTTTTATCTACTACTTTTCTTATTTTGTTACCTGATTATGTTAGCTAAGTATGTCAGCATCCCTCCATTCTGTACTAAGCTCATGTGTATCACTTCTTTGTTCTTCTCATGTCCTGTTGCTTAATTTTCCAAACTTTTCCTCCTCTCATGCAGGCTCAGAATATCTACAAAGTGAGACTACTGGCCTCCTGTTGAGTTGCTTGAGAAGTTCTAAACTTCTCAAGTTGACACAGTGTATCAAGTATTACACTGTCCACTTTCTTTCTATCATTAGTAGGGTTGTAATTATTTAATTCAGTATGTATTGGCATATCAACATTTGGGTACTCTTAATGTTTCTATGTAATTGTGGATTTTTTTCCTATGGCTAGTTATGGTACATTATAGATTCTTATATAATGTTAATATTCAGTTTGTCTTGGGGGTTATTACTGTTGCTGACTTGTTTGATATTTCTAGGACTGTGTCATTGTTGCTATTGATGAGGGTTTTTTTGGGGGGATATCAACACCTGGATTACATTGTGACATGCACAGTACTGCAACCCATTCTGGAGAGCTGGGTGTTGGGCCTCTTACTTTGCATCCTTTCCTCTCAAATTAACAGAGGTGGTCAGTCTTGGGACAGAGGCAAAAGGCTATAGCTAGCCATGCCAAGAACAAGTCATTGAAAAACAGACTAAAGAGATCTCCATACTTAAAACCAAGTCTTTTCACTATAAGCTCCTACAAACCTAAGCACAAAACAAAACAAACAAAAAACAATAGAAACACAGGAAAGCAAGGCAACCAACTACCTTCCCAAACTCCCCCCAACCTGGACAGACTTACTCTGATGGCTTCCAGTCTCACATAAAACTCAGGTGCAGACATCTTTCTAACTTACAGAACTCTTCATACTAGGTCTCAGTGATTATCTTCCTTTGAATGTGCCAGGGGCATTGTGACCACCACAGATCTCCAGTGACACCCAGGACCTCAGCCTTGTCCTAGTTGAGCCCCTCCTTCTCCACTCATATTTAATAAAAGGAATCCAGGCCTAAAATCGAAATATCTTCTTCGTTCATTTCTCTCACCATCCACTAGCAAGTCCAATCTCGCAGGTGCTTTACATTTTGTACTTTAGTCTTTTCCTAATCCATTCACTCTTCCAGATGCCACTACCCTACAAAAGGTTGACCATTTATTTCACTGGAACTATTGAAACAAATTCTCAGTTTATTTCCTTGCTTTTGTGTTTTATCATCTTTCACATCCAACGATTTTCTTTCACGTTGTAAACAATTTAAGGTAAAAACTTGGTCATTCCTCTCTTGACTGATTAAATGTTTTCGCAGATTGTCACTGCTCTTAAGATAGATGCAAAATTCCTTTCAAGGGCATCAGTGATACTTAATTATCTGATCCTTTCCAGCCTAATCTGGTCACACAGGAAATCTCGCAGCCCTTTCTCCAGCCTTTCATGCTCGCAGTTTCTTCTGCGTAGCACTGTGTTTTCCTTGCTCCCTCTGTGCCTGGCCTGTTGCCATTTGTCCTCCAGGCATCTGACTAGCTCAGCTAAACATTCCATGTCTCTCACACCAGGTGAGCTCTGCCGCTGTGGGCATCCCATACCTACTGCATTGCATTCAGTGCACTGGATCGTTGTTTGTAGCTGACTTCCCACCTGAGTGGAAACTCTGTGTAGAATAAACCATCTCTGCCTTCAAAATTGCATCAAGCCTACCACCTTGCTTGGTGGGTGCATTTAGCCTTTTTTTTTTTTTTTAATATTTATTGTCCTTCAGGCTGAAGTGTGTGCTGCTCTTTTTTTTTCGTATTGTAGTACAAGGTCTACAGGGTCTACATGGTCTCACTATGTAGATCGGAGTGGTAGTGATCCGCCTGAGTTCAGCCTCCCAAGAGCTGGGATTACAGGTGTGTGCCACCACAGCCAGTCTCAATCGCACTCTCAGCGCGCCCTGGGGGCGGGCCAGGCACAGCACACCGGGGATGGAACCCCAGCCACTGAGTCTGCCTAAGGAGGTACTTTAGACCGCTGAGCTGTTTGGCTGGCCCTGTGCTGCCCTATCTTCAACAACAGAAAAATACTATCAAATCAGAGTGACTACTAATTTCAGTTCCTCTCAGAATAAGAACTCACTAGCTTTAACTATTTAACTCTCAAATTTGACAGTCTTACAGAATTCATGGGTATAATTTTGCAAGCGTGGAAAGTAATTATGATACCTCAGATATACTAGTCATTTCCCTGATTCAGATACTTTGTGCTTTATTCCACAGGACATAATTTGATATTAATATAGAAAAAAACCAGAAATGAAAGCAATTTTGGAAATGATAGGAGAAACAAATATTTCTACCCTTAAGCCCTCATTTGAATTCTTCTTGCAATATCTATATCCTATGTGATGGCTAATTTTTTGTGTCAACATCACTAGGCCTGGGTAGCTAGCTTTAATCAAACACCAGTCTAAATGTTTTGTAATGTGATTAGCATTTAAAATAGTAGATTTTGAGTAAAAGAGATTATCGTTCATTATGCTATGGGCCTTATGCAGTCACTTGAAGGTCTTAGAAAAAAGGCTGCTGTCTTTTTTTTCCTTTTGCAGAACCGGGGATTGAACTCAGGCCCTTGTGTTTACCAGGGAAATGCTTATTCCACTGAGCCATCTCCCCAGCCCCCAACACTGCTGTTTCTTGAAGAAGAAATGAGTACAATGTCAACACTTCATGGGGGATCCAGCCTACTGATATTGCTGTGGTCGTCAGACCACCCAGTTCCCATAGTCAAAAGAACATAATATTTTAAATGAATCTTTCTCAATCTCTGTCTCCTTCTACACACACACACACACACACACACACACACACGCGTGCACACACATGCACACACACAGGGGGGTATGATCTTGCTTTCTAAAAAAACCTTGGTATTAATATGCTACAGTATATTTCAAATCTGACAAAGGAGAAGGGGAATATTAAGAGATATAAGAATGTTTCCTAAACATGCATAGTTGAAGCCAACTCATGGGTCTTCACCTTGATAATGCTTAATTCAGCTGCACTAATTGTATTTACACTTGAATACAGTCTGCTAGCATTATAGTAGGAAAAGTGTCTACTGAAAATAATCCCTGGTTTCTTAAAATTTTGCTTCTCTTGTAATCAAGGAAGCTCCAGTCTGGTGTTAAGAGTGCGAGTAAGAATCTCAATCAGAGACATCACTGGAAGACGTTCCATTGATGATGAGATGAACTTCCTACCTTCCTGGCTTATGAAACCAGAAGCTGTCAATCTGGAGTACATGTGAGAATCACATAGGGCAGTGCTTCTGAAATTCAGTGTTCACTTTAAGGTCTGAGAGGTAGATAAGTTTATAATAGAAAAGTTTTATATTTAAAAACTATCCCACAGAACATGATACAGTCTGGGAAAATGGCCTTCAGCTTGGAAGGAAATGTATGATCAAGTATTCATTATTCTCAGCTTACCAAGGATGCCTGAGAGTTACTCCAAGGCTCTCCCTTGAGATCCCCTTCCCTTTATTCAGTATAGGCATGTGAAGTCATGGCCATCCTGATCATAATCAGTGTCTGCACTACATATGTTTCATTTTACACATCTCTGGGCTTAAGGGAATATGAATCTCAGAGGAGTTGAGCTCCTAGAATAACAAATTAAAGAAAGTAATTACCTGGAATCACACCAGGGCAAATTCTGTTATAGTTTTGCAGCAGTGACTTATGACAGCCACTGAGTACATCTGACTACATTTTGGGGAAATGGGGATAGACAGGAGCTCAGGAATGGATGCTTAGTCATTGGTTTAGGGAAAGGACAGGAGTCCTTTGTTTCTGAAATCTATTTTTGGGGAGTGACAAAAGATGCCTTGGAAAAGCTTCAAAGTAATCAGGCAGTGGACTAGATGGTTTGCATTATCTAAGGTGTATTAAAGTTTACAGGAGACATCATCAGTGGTTTTGAAGCACTGTAGCACCACGAAAGACACAGGCTTTGGAAAGATTCCCAGGTCTCACACTGCAACACAATTCCCTGTAAATGGCTTTCAGGAAAGACAACAACCCTGCTAACAAGGACGAGCCTTCTATGATCTAACATTCTAGATATGCCAATAGGTGGGGAGGGAAGGAATACAAAAAAAATGAGCTCCTCCCAATGCTGTGTTCTTGCTGTCTGTGTCAGACACTGTCCTCCTTGCTCCAGTGGTATAGAATAATCAGATAGTATCAAAGGAATATCTTACACTTGCATATCTGAAAGAAAAAATTATTTATAAACTAAGCATAGTAAAAGATTGATAATAATAGCTAATAATAAAACATACAATTATAATGATATATTGTAATAAAAATTACTTGAGTATTCTCTCTCTTTCTCTCTCTCTCAGTATCTTTTTAAAAATTTTTTATTTTATTTTAGGGAAGGGTCTACAAGGTGTTTAGGTTCTCACTACTAGATCGGACTTGCACTGATCCACTTGTTTACAGCCTCTCAAGAGCTGGGATTACAGCCGCGTACCACCACGTCCAGTCTCACTTGCTGTCTCAGTGCACTCTGGGGGTGGGGCTGGCATAGCAGGCCTGGGGATCAAGCCCCCAGCCCCTGTGCCTGCTTTCAGGCTCTTTCATCTGCTGAGCTATTTGGCCAGCCCTCTCTGAATATTTTAATGTACTGTACTTGTGATGATGTGGGATGAAACAGAGCCCGCCTGCGGAGATGAAGTGAGGTGAATGACATAGCAGTGTCACATAGCACCAGGGTACTATTTGAGCTTTACTTCTTAAGCTATGTTGTTGTTGGTTGATTTCTTTATGATAGTCATTCTTTCTAGGGTGAGATGGTATCTCAATGTTGTTTTAATTTGTATTTCTCAAATGGCCAGTACTGTGGAATATTTTTTCATGTATTTATTTGTATTTCTTCCTCTGAGGAGTGTGTATTCATCTCAGATGCCCCGTTTTGGATTGGGTCTTTTAATTTTGGGGCCAAATATTTTTAATTCTTTATATAATTTAGATAGGGGTCCTTTGTCTCATTGATTGTTGGGTTACAATTTTTTCCCAATTTGTGGGTTGTCTTTTCACTCTGTTGGTGATTTCTTTTGACATGCAGAAACTTCTTAATGAGATACGAAGATGTGGGAAAGGAGAAAAGATAGGAAAAAAGGAAGGG